GATAGAAAATAATGATCTTAATTTCCTGTTCTAGTGATTTAAGGGCATATGGAAGTTGTTCAAAGAGAGCTCAAAAAAGATTCTGTGTTAGTTGACAAATGTACAGTCTGTTCGAATTCACTAAATTTTGAGTACACCTCGCACGCAAACACACATAAACACACACATACATACACACACACATACCTACCTACCTACCTACCTACCTACCTACATACATACATACATACAAACATATATATATATATATATATATATATATATATATATATATATATATGAACGACTGATCAGTTTTGAAAAGAGTGCCCTACGGTTTGTTGATTAGTCCAAGTACTTTATGCAGAGGTCAGCATGTGTTGACCTTTTCATGTAGAATATTTATTATGCGGTACGTCGCACTTTATTGTGCCCCCCTCCCGATCGGGCACATTGTAATAATTTTACCCCCCCCCCCAAAAAAAACAGACAGAAATAAATGAAAGACTTGATGGTTTTCTTTTTCTTTCTTTCTTTTTTTTTTTATTGAAATTTAATGAATGCAAAAATGTGAAAAAAAAAACATAATTAAAATAAAATAATTACATATATACAGTGTAACCCGGATATAAGAGACCCGGGTATAAGAGACCCGGGTATAAGAGACCCGGGTATAAGAGAAACCCGGATATAAGAGAGATTTTCTCTGGTTCCAAATTAGAGCCCGTCTTAATGTATATAAAATAGACCAGACCCGGATATAAGAGAAACCCGGATATAAGATACTTCTTCTCCGGTCCCGACGACTCTCTTATATCCGGGTTACACTGTACATATATTAAACATTGAAAGCGATGAGAAACAAGCTTTCGTAATGTTCACTTCACTATTAACAACGATATTCGATAAAAATGAAGTAAGCATTTTACCAGGGATTAAATTCATATTTGGAATGCAAAGAAGTAAAAAAAAAAAAAAAAAAACGAATAATTAAAGGAATAATAATATTCCTTTAAATCAGATGTGAACAAATATACTTTGAAAAAAATAAAATGCGAAATTAAACATGTAATTTTAAAATTTAAGTGAAAGATGCAAGGAATACACACACACACACACACACACACACACATACACATATATACACCCATATATATATATATATATATATACACCCATATATATATATATATATATATACACCCATATATATATATATATATATATATATATATATATATATATATATATATATATATATATATATATATATATATATATATATATATATATATATATATATATATATATATATATATATATATATATATATATATATATATATATATATATATATAAAATATAAAACTTGGAAATGAATTTTTGTATATCTCTGAAAGTACTCAAGAAAATACAAAGTTAGAATATGGTTTTTAAATTATACACGAAAAGAGCTATAAAAAAAACGCCTTTTCTTTCATAATCATATTCTCATATAAAACTTGTTTATTTGTTTGAATACCGGATATTTGTTTGAAAAATATTTGGGGAAAAAAATGTTAAATAAAGAAAGATAACTCTGTTTTCTGATATTTCCCCGTAAATATGTAGAAACTGTTACATTGATTGCCATCTTTTGAGATGCTTCTCTATTTTCCCCTTTTTTTTTAACCTTAGATCACTCCTTTAAAAAAGGAAGTGAATTATTCACTGATCGGTAATCGGTTATATAAATGCATGCAACCCCCACCACCATTGTAGCTGAAGAATTAAATAAAATTTGTATTACACGAAAAGGAAAAGAAAAAAAAGAACTACACCCAAGGGAGACAAATCAATGTTTCCGACGATCCGTGGCGTAAGTATATATCTATATATGTATACTTAGAGAGAAAAATATAATTGCTGTAAATATCTGTGTATCTACATACAAATTCTAACAAACAAGCGTATTCTATAAACGCACACTTACTGACACATACATACACACAAACACAGCCTTTTTTTTATCTAATGCTTTTTTTCTTCTTTTTATTTTGTTCCCTTGTTGACTGTTCCATTTCTAACTGCTGTTTGGTGAGACCTAGAAATCTTTATCGCCATTATAGGTAAAGAATCAGCTTTTTTTTTCCCCAGATTAAAAAAAAAAATTAAAAATTACGGTTAAACTTTGAAAGAAAACAAAATCTAGAATCCGGAATCTCTACAACGCTTCTAAAAATAAATAATTGAATAAAAAAAAAAACTAAGAAACAAGACTTTCTCCCCATTCTATTTTTAACACTTTTTGTCTGCTCGGTTTTAAGGAACTGGCCGTATACGAGAAATGCGTGTGTCTGTGTGTATATGTGTGTGTCATTCACTTTTATAGTCGCTATATGTGAGTTTGTGTGTGGTGGGGGGGAGGATTTGTATGTATGCTTGCGAAAGTTTGGCACATAGAAGTTATTTTATTTTTTTCATCCTTTTTTTCCACTGAATCTCCGGCAACCAAATTTGGCCATTTTATTTTAGGCTCTCAAAACTGGTATAAACAATGGCATTCAATTATACATTTTCTGAAAGCTTATGACATACCAAGAACCATCCGAACATGATATAAATAAGGCTCAACTTTCTTTTTCTTTTTTTTTTTTCTATTTATGTGCCATGTCCTTTCAGGACGTAGGCGATCATGGCTCTTCACCTCCCTCTATCCCTTGCAGCTCTCAACGGCTCTCCCCCAGACCATGTTCTGTCATTCACTTTCTTAAGGCCGCTACGTATATCACGCGTTGTTTTCCCTTGTCTCCCTTTCCCTCTATTCCACCCGTGAGTATCAGATTCTCCAGGCCCTCCTTCCCCATTATGTGTCCAGCTGCCTCTTCTTGATATTAAGTATAAGACTCCTCCTTGTTTGCATCCTCTCTAAGACCTCATCGTTGCTCACACGCTCAGTCTATGATATTCTTAGCATCCTTCTGTAGAACCACATCTCTGTCGCCTCGGGTCTCTTCTTAATCTTTGAGGAAATCGTCCAACACAGGCGTAAAAAAGGCAACATAGAAAAGGATTTTCCCAGACGTGTGGACTTGATTAAATTATTTGTAATATTTTTTCCTATGCCAATTTTGAAAGCATAATTTCATTTATAATTCACCAAGACACACTACACTCCTCAAATCTAAAATGAGGCTATAGTGGCGCCATCTATCAACAAAGGTAGGTACCGCTTCAGTGTGTTTCTCTTGGGTGGGATTAATTTGTTGACTCTTTTCCGGAATTTATTAATTTTGTTGGAACTAGAGAAATATACATGCATTTTGGGAGATTTCATTGGAGGATTTAATATGGAGGATTTCATTGGAGGATTTAATATGGAGGATTTAAATTGGAGGATTTCATTGGGGGTTTAATTTGGGGAATTTCATTGGGGGGTTTAATATGGAGGATTTCATTGGAGGATTTAATATGGAGGATTTAAATTGGAGGATTTCATTGGGGTTTAATTTGGGGAATTTCATTGGGGGTTTAATATGGAGGATTTCATTGGAGGATTTAATATGGAGGATTTAAATTGGAGGATTTCATTGGGGTTTTAATTTGGGGAATTTCATTGGGGGGTTAATATGGAGGATTTCTTTGGAGGATTTAATATGGAGGATTTAAATTGGAGGATTTCATTGGGGGTTTAATTTGGGGAATTTCATTGGGGGGTTAATTTGGAGGATTTCAATGGGTTTTACCGGAATATTTCTTTGTTTTCCCATCCATTTACATTTTCTTTTCAGGTCATTTTACGGCCTTTTCTATTTTCGGACCTTGTTTTTTTTTTTTTTACATATTTTTTCGGGGCTGCTTAGAAAATTTGAAAAGCGTTTCAGTCAATTTCAGATTACAAAAAATATTCCGGTCTTGTATACTTTCACAGAAATATTTGTTTTGCATTCACTGCTCACTTAAGTGAAATGGGCTGAGATGGAATTATCCAAATGAGCAAATTATTCTTTAAATTAAATTGATAAAAGAATATGATCTGGATCTAGTGGATTAAGGAGAGTCTTTCAGATTGTGAGGAACTTTCGGAATTCTTTCGTTGATTTGGTAGAATTTGTCTTTGTTGAGATTCAATAAATTTAGAATTTTTGCAACAGTATTAAAAGTTTATTTATTCTTTATGAATTATTTACAAATTCAAAGAACATCAATGTGGAAAATGAGACATCTTTCTCAGTCTGTTCGTATCTATCTATCTATCTATCTATCTATCTATCTATCAGCTTCAGCGTGATCATGTCTCGATTCATAACTATCTATCTCAGGCAATTCATATCTCTTTCTTTCTATTTATCTATCTATCTTTCTTTCTCAGTAAATGATCATATTTCTGTTGTAGCTTGTTCATATATCTCTCAAACTGTTCTTATCTATCTATCTATGTATCTCTCTATGTGTTTTAGGATATACATATGTATGTATGTTCATATCTATCTATCTATTCATTTCTATCTCAATCTGCATTTCTCTTTCAAACTGCTTCTTTATATCTATCTCAGTTTGTCCATTTCTACTTATCTATCTATCTATCTATCTATCTATCTATCTATCTATCTATCTATCTCAATTTGCATCTCTCTTTCAAACTACTTCTTTATATCTATCTCAGTTTGTCCATTTCTATCTATCTATCTATCTATCTATCTATCTATCTATCTATCTATCTATCTATCTATCTATCCATCAGTCTGTCTGTCTGTCTATCTAAGACTGTTCACGTATCTCTATCTATTCATATCTATTTACTTATCTATCTATCTCAGTCTATTTGTATCTATATAGCATGTTCATATCTATGCCAATATCTTCCTGTCTATTTATCTATCTATGTATTTGTATGTCTGTCTATATTTCTGTTTAAGACTGTTCATGTCTCTCTCAGTCAATTCATATCTATCTATCTATCTATCTATCTATCTATCTATCTATCTATCTATCTATCTCACTCTATTAATATCTATCTATCTATCTATCTATCTATTTGATTTTATCATTTTACCCTTACAATAAAGAGAAACGTACGTTTACTCTCTCTCTTAGACGTATAAAATGCTCAGTGAGATATGTACCCACGGTAGAGCTGCATCAAACACAATAATACTGCAGTTTCACAATTCATTGTTCTCTTCCCAGCAGTGTTTCTCCATTCACTGAACCCACGGAACAGACAGAGGGCAAGAGGGACAAAGTCAAATAGCGCATAACATACTTAGTGAACGTGAGTAAATGGATGTCGAAACAGGATTTAGGAGAAATAACAGAACGATAAAGTTTATTAAACGCTACAAATGACAGATTTTGTTTGGTTTGTTTTACGGCATATCAACCTCAATGCCGACAAAAAATTTTATTGCTGGGAATATTTTTTTTCAAAAAAGTATTGCTGGTATTAAAACCTGTTTTTACACTTTCATAGTGTCTTGACCCCAGTTTGGAGATTAACTATTTGCCCATAGGAGGGATCCTGACAGGTGCTACCACCCCGCGTCAGGGTGAACCTGAGAACACCAGCAATTAAGAGGTGGTTCCACGCTCCTCAAAACCTCCTGATCACTGACTTTGCTGCCGGACGTAGTTTATCGTCTTACCCAAGACGCGGACGAAGTTTATCGTCTTACCCAGTACGCGGACGTACTTTATCGTCTTACTCAGGACGTGGATGTAGTTTATCCTCTTACCCAGGACGCGGACGTACTTTATCGTCTTACCCAGGACGCGTATGTAGTTTATCGTCTTACCCAGGACGCGGACGTAGTTTATCGTCTTACCCAGGACGTGGACGTAGTTTATAGTCTTACCCAGGACGCGGATGTAGTTTATCATCATACCCAGGACGTCCCATTTTTGGTCTGATCTGCCTCTTGTTTCTTGGAGAAGGACAATGAAAAGTTTTTGTCCATGTTTTTTAAGTTTTGTTCAATTTTTTAATGTTTTTTTTTTAATTAAGAGTTATCCCCCCTAAAGAATGGTTACCATCCAAGGCTAAAGACATCTGTCTACCATGCTATTTAACCCATAGCTGCGGGGAGAAAAGACTGATTTAATTTCAAAGATAAGAGTCCCAGATCTAGTTCTCAATATAGTCTCCATCCTTCTCAGTCATGATACTCTACCTCTGAATAAGGACAATTATACAGACCACCAAGAGTCAAACGTTATCTATCCTCTTCATCTGCATAGTCTTCACTTCCTATCTTCTCTTACATTCACATCATGCATCTTATTCAGTAGACATCTACATTGAGTGGTTCTTGAGCCTTGTGAGTTTAGGTTTTAAAAAACTCATCATCTGAGAACCGCTGTACTCTCAGTGGTTCCTTCAAGGAGATTTGGTCATCAAGCACAATCTATTCATTCATGGAGTGTCAGCATTCTGGAAACACACTTTGCACGGACATTTGAGTAGCCAAGAGACTGTACAGATCTGAAGACTCACCTGAAGGCTTTCACAGACTTTTGAAATGATAATTCTTCTGTCATTTGTAATGACAGCATCAGTACGTTTGGTCTTATCCTCATTCGCAACTAAAGCTGACTTGCCGCCCCGGGGCCCGTCCATGAGGACAGTTTCTTCTTTCTCGTTATGATTGTCAATACCTTTACTGTTCCATCTACTTACTGATCTGACATTCAAGCCTATAAACTTTTACTAACGATCTGTGAATATCTACAACAATATCTCCTTCCAAAAACAGAACTTCTATGACACCTCTTTGCTTTGAGCGTCTTTCCAGAGAGCAGCCATTTTGAAAAATGATTATGAGTAGGAAAAGATAACTCTACACATTTTCTCAATTAGTATTCTTTACACTTTATACTTTATAGTTTAAAACAAAGCTCTAGGATTTCTGATAAATACTTTTAAATTTCGATTAGAACAGGCGTTACTTTTTAACCAGTGCTTGTAGATGTGTATCTAAACTTGAAACTTTTCTTCTGTGTTTTTACATAAATGTCAGGAATTGATGGTTTGTCTGCTTGGCTTCAGCTAAGATCAGATCATTTTCATAAGAACACATCTTTTAAGCCAGTCAGCTTGAACATTTTAAGCATAAATGCTCAGTTATAAGTTCTAAATTATTCTAATATCTTTCCCAAATATATCAAGCTTACCTAGCAGCGCCAAAATTTCGGTGTCACTATAGTATATCTACCACCAATTTTCTACTATAGTATGAAATCTACCGCCCATTTTCTACTATGGTATGATATTTACCAAGTGTTAGAAGTATGAAATATGTTTGGGTTAGGGTTAAGACTTAGGGTTAGAGGTTAGGGTTAAAGGCAGTGAACAGTGAACTGTTTATATATTAAAAATTTATTAACAATTTTTATACAAAAATTGAAAAATCAAATAGTGATTTTAATGTTTCTAAACTGATTTGATGTCGTTTAAAAAACAGTAAATAGGCCATTGTTTTTCCTGAGCATTTTCCAGCAATAATGAGTGCATCGTCATTTACAGTAGGTCACAAATGCTTTGGTAGATATCATACGATAATAGTATCAAAATTTCTTTGCCACGTACTTTATCAAACGCTTTTGCATAATCAACGTGATGTAATGGTTAACAAGCTCGTTTCGTTAGAGCAATTATAACTGACTAGTGAATTCGACCCTCATTGGGTGCCCTATACTTTCTGCCTTGTACCATACCTAAGCCTAACTTAGAAAACCACCTTGGCATCAGAAAGAGACAGATGAAATTTCTAGGATACATAATGAAGAAAGGATTAGAAAATTTGGCACAAAGACGACATATTGAAGGCAAGATGGACAAAGGAAAGCGGCACATAATCTGCTTAACAATCTTGTGTAAATGGTTGGCAGAACAGGGACTGGAAGTGATAAGAAAAAGAAAAACTTTATTAAGAGCTACAAAGGACAGGAAATCGTGGAGAACCATGATCGCCTACGTTCTAAAGAGGCAGGCTAGAAGAACTCAGATATATTTTATTCTTATACAGTTGTCCGTATTTTATAACTGTTTATAAAAATGGTTGTTGAATTAGTTTATATTATAAATAATAAGTATTATAATGATTTGATATTTAAAAAGAAAAGTCGTGTGTGTTCGTCAATATATTTTTACAAAGTTAAATTTTAGTATCTTCCGCCAACTTCAGACAAAGAAAAACAAGTAGAAGACTCTCGCTTGTGTGCAATAAACTCTAAAAACAGTAATATTTTTTCAAACCGTTTTATCGAAATCACAGTGATGACAGAATGTCTAATGGAAGAAACCCTGGAGGAGGGGCGATGCAAGAGTCTTGTGGGTTACCCCGAATCTATGATACAACTACATCTCAATTTCCATAAGGTAGTATTCATATAAAATACAAATTTTATTGTAACCTAATCATATACAATAATGATCATATGCAATATAGATGAACAATACAACTAGAAAAATTGAAAATAAATACAATGTATCTAAATACAAATTAATAAATAACAAACCATTCCATCCTAAATAAATCAACAATGCTTTGCGGCAATTTTTAACATCGACTTGAGATTTTTCTTGTTAAAACGTTTTGAACACATTCAACATTATGGATGAAAAATAATGAATTTTATATAGTTTGTCTTCGAGACTTAACAGGAGCAAATGTATTCACGACTTCATCGCAGTCGAGGGATCGAGCAGATTCATTTTCAATGGAAATTATTGCTAACCTGGATAACCCCTTCATGTCATAATAGATCAAGCCATGTTAAATAAATAAATGTTTTGCAGCAATTTTTAACATCAACTTGAAATTTTTCTAGTTAAAACGTTGAATAAGTTTAACACATTCAACATTATGGATAAAAAAAAATTGTGAAAATTATATTTTGTCAGAACATGAGCCAAACAAATTCACGGATTTGGAAGAATAAAACAAAAAAGAATCTAGAATGACGTCAAAATCCGCAAAAAATGTTCCTCTTTTGTGCTTAGTTTAATTTGTAACGTATATAGATGTAGGTAGAAAAAAGGCAAATGTTGATAAGACAGCGAGGACCACAAAACACTTCTCGGGGACCACAATCAAGCTTGCTCCCCCCCCCCATCCGGTTAGAAATTAGCGCTAAGGAGGTTCAGATCATTTTCATAAGAACATATCTTTTAAGCCAGTCAGCTATAAGTTATAATTTCTGAATTATTATATCTTTCCCAAATATATCAAGCTTACCTAGCAGGACTAGGGTTTGGGCTTCCATACAATCTTGTTTTGATCTGTTGATTGTGTTTCTTTCATTCATGTTGATGCTTTTGGTTCTTTCTCAGTTTGGTTCGTTTTTATTTGTTTTCATGTTTGATTATTTTTTTATTTATTTAATTTTGTTGGTTGGTTTTTTGGTTGATTGATTGGTTGGTTGGTTGATAGGTTTGTTGGTTGATTGATTGGTTGGTTGATAGGTTTGTTGGTTGATTGGTTGGTGGATTGGTTTGTTGGTTGATTGATTGGTTGGTTGATTGATTGTTTGGTTGATAGGTTGGTTGATTGATTGGTTGGTTGATTGGTTTGTTGGTTGATTGATTGGTTGGTTGATAGGTTGGTTGATTGATTAGTTGGTTGATTGGTTGATGGATTGGTTTGTTGGTTGATTGATTGGTTGGATGATTGGTTGGTTGATTGATTGATTGGTTGGTTGATAGGTTTGTTGGTTGATTGATTGGTTGGTGGATTGGTTTGTTGGTTGATTGATTGGTTGGATGATTGGTTGGTTGATTGATTGGTTGGTTGATAGGTTTGTTGGTTGATTGATTGGTTGGTAGATTGGTTTGTTGGTTGATTGATTGGTTGGCTGATTGATTGGTTGATTGATTGGTTGGTGGATTGGTTTGTTGGTTGATTGATTGGTTGGATGATTGGTTTGTTTGTTGTTTGTAGTATGCACCGGACCTGCTCTAGAATTTATTATTTATCTCTAATCACCACGGTTTACTATAGACTGTAAAGCGACAACCTGAAAATTAAAACAACTGAAATTAAGC